CGTCAAAAAGAGATTGTGCACAGATTCTTCATGAATTTTTTTATAAATCAGTGGCTTAAAGTTTGATAAACTGTGAATGAAATGATAAATGAAAAGAATTTCATCCATTAATTTAGGGTGAGTGCAGTGCTCAAATAGACATAAATACATAATCAACAACTACATGATGGAATTGAGACATTAATAGACTCAGTGGCGGAGCACGTGTTCTCTGGTTGGCCTTGACGCGGGCTAAATTTTAACAAATTGTATTTATCATATATAATTATATAATTAATTATAATTTAGTCCGGTCTAAAATTGTAATTTGGCCTGGGCTAAAATTTATAATTTGGCCCTATCAAAAAAATAAAATATATTTGATGAAAGATTTGGGTAAGTTGTATTAAGTTATGTGTTCCATTTTCACTTATATAAAAAAATGTAAATATATTTAATAAAATTATAACTCTTTTTGATACTGTTTGCTTAGGTGTTTTGTATTTAATATAAGGAAAAAATGTGTATCATTTTAAAGGATGTAAAGTTGTGTCATTTTAAGTGAGAGAAAGAGATAGATAAAGGAGGAGAGAGAGTGGACAAAAAAATATAAAGGTGTGGGTCTCACCTCTTTGTGTGAGTGAAAGGATATAAGTTGTGTCATTTAAAAGGACAAACACTTTTATCTTAATATAATTTAAATATATTATGATATGAACTAACTAAAATTAAGAAAAAATAAATACGCATATAATTTTTTTTGGCCTGACCTCCAATTGGAGTCTGGCTCTGCCACCGCCAACAATCAGATGTAGGAATAAATCTTTGGTGGTACTGTTGCACCAAGATTCAGTGCATCCCATCAATGGAAGTATTACACATCATAGGAAAAAGAAAAAATTTGACAGAGAAAAAAATTTACCTGACATGTAATATTTTTATTGGTAGGATGTACTAAATCTTTAGTGCAACAGTAGCACCAAAGATTTATTCTAGATGCAGCGGAACGCGTGAGGCTCATGCCTAAAAGCTCCACAGCATTTGAGTTCCAAATTCTAATCCCCTTCCGTTGTTCCCGCCGCTGAACACTGGAGAAAACTGAAATTAAGAGAAAAAAGGCAAAATATATATATATATATAATAATGCACTAATTAAAATCCGTTAGAATTTGGAACACCATTAATGAAGCGGAACTACTGGGTGGGTTCCGTGAGACAACCAAACATGGCCCATGTGGTACCAACAGGGCAACAATATTGTGCTAAATTTGGTGACTTTCTATTGACCACAACTTAGGAGCACATGAAAAAGTGATTATTCAAGCCATAATGGACAGTTTATAACGTAAACTATGATTTGATGTAAATTACAGGATAATCTGCACGCACATGTACTAGGGCTCCATACTTTAACTTTTCTTATTTTTCGCTTTTTACTGTTTTTGAAAAAGTGGAGATTCGGTTAACTTTCTTTATGATCTGTAGCCAAGATATTCAGTATTCATATAGCCAAGCTAGAAGAATAAAATGACAATGACGATGATATCAAGAATCGCATACTTAATTCAGTGACAAAGTCACGTAATTAATGTACTGTGTAGGTTGATGCACGGATACCGAATTATCAATTTATTCCACGACAAAAGTAATTAACATTTTTTTTGGTAGACAAAAGTAATTAACGTTAACTCAACGTACTGCAGTTAATTTCACATTCGTTTTCGATATTTGTAATAAATTATTAATTAGATAATGATTTTTTATTTGGTGATTTATTAATTACATGATTTAAGAAGAAAAAATATTAAGATAGATAAAGAACCATAAATAAAGGAAAAATAGAGATTAATAAATTAATTTCATATGATATTGATTTTTATAAAAAATTTATTGATCAGTGTGTCCAAAATATAAATTAATTTTTATAAAAATAAAAATATTCAATATTTTAAAATTAATATATTGAAAAATTAATTTTTATTTTAATAGATTAATATTAAAATAATATATTAAATTTTGAAAATTACATTGGTCAACGATGTTAATACATTAATCTCTTATCAGGCCTTATCTCTCACCCTTAAGCCGGATTAAGTTATACATCATTTTGATGTATTAAGGGATTATGTTGTATAAACTTATACTATACGATGGTCACACCAAACAACGAAAAATGTCATAACGTATAGTATAAGCTTATACTATCATGCCTTATACGTCACACCAAACAGGCCTAAAAGAGTACTATTTTTTATTTATTTAAGTAACTAAATAAAATTAACGTAATACAATTGTTTCTATTATTAAATGGTAGTTTTAAATATCATTTTACCATTTAAAAGAAAGGATATATTTTCCTTATGTTGTAAGAAAAAAATTACCTCATGTTATAAAAATAAAAGTATAAGTGAGACCCACAGATAACAGGAGAGAGAAAAAAAGTAGTGAGACCCAATCTCTTTTTGTGTGTGTAGGAAAATTATTTATCTCATGTAAAATGAGATAAACATAACTCTTAAAAAAAATTGTTGAGATATATAGTCCCACATTGATTGTGTGGGTAACTAATGTGGCTTTTATAAGGCTTTGGGCACTCCCACCCTTTGAGTTAGCTTTTGGGTGGTGTACTCCAAGGTTCTTTACATGATATTTGAGAGTTTGAGTGACTATAAGGTCACAAGTTCGATCCTCACCACCCCAGGTGAAATTAAAATAAAAAGCACAAAAAGGTAAACAAAAAATTAGGCCTCTGCATAATCCACCATCAAGCCCAATGGTCTATTGTGTGAGGGGGCGTGTTGAGATATAGTCCCACATTGATTGTGTGGACAACTAATGTGGCCTTTATAAAGCCTTGAGCCCTCCCACTCTTTGAGCTAACTTTTGAGGTGGTGTATCCCAAAGTTCTTTATCTAAACATTTTTCTTTTATTCAGTACTTAACATCTGAAACAAATCTAGTGGAAAATAAATGAACTTTCGTGGACAAATTAATCCATGTGTTGTATATTGCTTGAATCTTGATTATCACATAGACAGGTAGTGGCCAAACTAAAATAAATAAGAGAGACAGCTAGTACTTGCGTACTTCTTGTGTGCATACTCTCGAAAGAAGTGAGGAGGAGTTTGCTTTTTTTTTTTTTGGTAAAGAGTTTGCTTTATTTATTATTTCCAGGGATTGGTAAGTCTTTATTTATTATTTCCTTTTTTTTTAATCTTTTCTTTCCTCAATTTAATTCTTAAAATAAAAAAAAATCCCGAGGAATGTGATTTGTGTATTGAGAAAAGGAAAGGAAAGGATCACATGAAATCGGCACTGACGCACTGTCATGTTGGTGCATTAATGCCTTCAACTTTTTATGTTTCATTTTCATTTAAATATAAATATGTTCATTTAGTTACTGTCCTTCAGTCATTTTGGTATTCACTGGTCAAACCATGCAATGGTTTCTGTACTCTACTGCTAGCATATTTGCTTGCCTTGGTTTCAGGATGTGCTTGGCTGCCAAATGGACAGTCATCATTTTGTTATTCTTGAGAAAAAAAAAATTATCACTTATATCAACAGTAAATTTTGTCAAAATATCACGTGACATATTTTGTTACACTGTGTAGTAAAATATGTGTGTAAATAATTCGCTACACATTGTAACAAAATATGACACGTCAGAACCAAAAATGCCATGTGTCAAACAGGGAGAATTTCGCTGCACAGTGTAGCGAAATTCTCCCTGTTTAACACCTGGCATTTTTTGTTGTGTAGCGAATTATTTGCACACATATTTCACTACACAGTGTAGTGAAATGTGCTACGTGACATTTTGGCAAAATTTATTGTTGACGTAACAGTTTGATAATTTTTTTTTGCCAACAGTGACACCTTGGTCACTGTTCCGCTAAATTTTTTCTGGAAAATTAAATTTGAACCATAATTAATTAACAGCAACTTATATGCATGCATTGCAGTCACGTTCTAAATGCTTAGTTGCAAACAACTAGGGTTTTTTACACATGAATTGAGTTTCATTCAATCCCCATACCCAACTTCAAAAAGTAAAGCGCAATTTTTGTAATCCGAGATAAGGTTTTTGGCAAATAAAAATATACCAATTCCTCATTTAATTTATAATATATCATGATTTTAACATATTAAAATTAAATAATAAATATATTTTTACTCGTTAGTGTTGCTTACAAGTCATTTGATAGTTTATTGCTACCCTTCTTAAAAGTTTTGTTTTAGTTAAAGGAAATATATTCTCAATGTTGCATAATTTAAAATTATATCATATATTAAAGACTTGACTCAATTTTTTTTTGGGTTTTATAAGAGTTATGTTGTAGGAAAAATGATTGTGTAATGTTATAGAGATTCGTTTTGCGTACCGTAATTTTTTTATTTTTTTTTCTTAAAAAGGTGTGGGCCCCACAAAATGTTGTGTGTGTAAAAAAGTTTGTTGTATCATGTTAAATAACAAATACAAATCCCATTTTTTTTTATATATGTACGTGATAATTTTATTTTATCCAATATGAGGAATTAATTAAGCTTAGTTAAAACTACAAAAATTCCAACAATAATAGTGGGATTACATCAGAGATATTATGAAAGTAAAATAAGAGGTGACACCTCGTATTCACAAGATTCTGTTTAAACGCATTCTAGAACTAGTTTGCAAATCCACTGCCGACAATTTTTATCTTTACCGTATTCAGACAACTCCATAAAAAGTTTCCACAATTTTACTTCTCTCTCTCTCACTCATACACACTCAGTGTCTGACAGTGACAGATATCAGTGTACTTTTGTAGCTTGTATCACAGTACTTATAAATTGGTTTGCTCTAAGAGCTTGAACAAAACAAGATTAGTGCTCACAACAAGGATTGGACCTTGTTGCTGTTACCATTCCACCATCTACCCAGTCTTAGAAGACCAAAATCACAAGTGTGTAACACCACCCCTTCTGCCAATTTTTCCTTGTTTCTGTTCCTGCATTTGATTTGGACTACATTTTCCATTTAGAAAAAAACATGGAAACTAGGTCGTTTTCCAAATTGGTGTTTGCATTTTGCCTGGTTTTCTGCTTGGTTTCTCAGCTGGTTCACTCTAGTGTCACCTACGACAGAAAGGCCATCGTCATCAATGGTCAAAGGAGAATTCTTTTTTCTGGTTCCATACATTATCCTAGAAGTACCCCTGATGTAAGCTTCTTCTTCTTGTTCCCATTTTCCTTACTCCTTTAAAGGGAACAAAAAATGGATCTTAATTTTAAGTGTTGTTTCTGATTTTCTTGAGAAATGATTTCTGTGCAGATGTGGGAAGATCTGATTCTCAAGGCAAAAGAGGGAGGTCTAGATGTGATTGATACCTATGTCTTCTGGAATGTTCACGAGCCTTCTCCTGGCAATGTACTTCACTCTCTTCTATTAATTCCTTATTCTGTCTTTTTTTTTTCTGTGTTTTCAACCTGAGTTTCCTCTCTGATTTGTGCTGTATTCTTCAATGTGTTCTGTATGCATGCAATTCAATTCAGTACAATTTTGAAGGAAGCAATGATCTGGTGAGATTCATAAAGACAATACAGAAAGCTGGGCTCTATGCTCATCTCCGCATTGGACCTTATGTCTGTGCAGAATGGAATTTTGGGTACCTTCTATTTCTAACTATCTTCTTCCTCATTTTCTGACTAAGAATTCTCTTTCATTTAGTTTATATAATCATTGCTTAAATTGACTGTTTATTTATAACTCCATGTTTATGTCTTATGAGGTATTTCTTTTATTGCTCAGTGATTATTTATTCAAACTATTTCTGTTATGTGCAGAGGATTTCCTGTTTGGCTGAAGTATGTTCCGGGCATAAGCTTTAGAACAGACAATGAACCTTTCAAGGTCTCAAATATTAGATTATATGTCCAAAATCATTTTTAAATAGATTTTGTAGTTGTTTTATTGATGACCCTTAAATTGTGTTGCAGAGGGCGATGCAAGGATTCACTGAGAAGATTGTGGGAATGATGAAGAGTGAGCACCTCTTTGAATCCCAGGGTGGCCCCATCATACTCTCTCAGGTAAACACATGGGGTTTTTCTTCAGCATTTAATCTACATTGCTTATTCTCTTCTTTCTGTATTTTAAAGCTACCAATTTTCATTCAATTATTAAGGGTATATTTAACAGCTGTTGTAAGAGAAATTGTCATGACCCTTGGTTACTAGTGGCTATAAACTTTTAACTCCAGATCTGTAGTTATATTAATGATACATGCACCATGTGTTTGTTTCAGATTGAGAATGAGTATGGAGCACAGAGTAAGTTACTTGGAGCTGCTGGCCAAAATTATGTGAATTGGGCTGCAAAAATGGCTGTAGAGATGGGAACTGGAGTCCCTTGGGTGATGTGTAAGGAAGATGATGCGCCAGATCCAGTGGTGAGTATCCTTGCTCTTCATCTTGAAAGTTGAGTACTATGAAATGTAATCCTCTAATACACCATTAACATGTCTTGGATTTTCGTTTTGGTTACTCAATTATATTATTTTAATTTTCAGAGATGTAACATTAAAAAAATAGAAAATACAATACAGCACCTAACCAGTTGTAGTTCATTTCTTCCAAGAACCTTCCAAATTTAGAAGTCTGGTAGCTAAACTAACCTGTTTGGTTTGTGGGGTAACAGATAAACACGTGCAATGGCTTCTATTGTGATAAGTTTACTCCCAATAGACCCTATAAGCCTTCACTTTGGACAGAGGCTTGGAGTGGCTGGTAAGGTTTTTTATTATCACGCTGAAAATTGGAAATGAAGAAACGAATAGCCTGCGTAACTTTTCTGTTTAATATGAAGGTTTACGGAATTTGGAGGTCCAATTCACAAAAGACCTGTCCAGGATTTGGCATTTGCAGTTGCTCGATTTGTAATAAGAGGAGGGTCCTTTGTAAACTACTACATGGTTAGTTTGCTTAAACTGATTTAAAACCTGAAAAAATGATGATGTTGGCACCTACACTTGTAACTAGCCTAAGTGTTCTTGCATTTACCTGTAGTATCATGGAGGAACCAATTTTGGACGAACTGCTGGAGGTCCTTTCATCACTACCAGTTATGACTATGATGCTCCATTAGATGAATATGGTGAGAACTGAAAATTCTGTACCTTCTAAGCCAGTTTTAGTATTTATTGGCCTTGTAACAACTAAAATCTTTCAAGAATTCTGGCTCATAATGGTATGCAAATTAAGTAACTACTAGCATAGTAGTTCTTTTTCTTAGTAACTTCATATGCATGAATTGGTTTTAACAAATTTTAACTCCAAAGTCCAAACATTTATCACTCTTCACTACATTGAAAGAAACAGATTATTTGTCAAATGCTTACACTTTCTGGTATGTAGTTGTCAGAAAAGTACCCCAAACTATATTACTGATGACTTAAAAGGACTACTTCTGCAATAATACAGGTTTGATTAGGCAGCCAAAATATGGTCATCTAAAGGAGCTTCATAAGGCCATCAAGATGTGTGAGCGAGCTTTGATTTCAACTGACCCAATTGTTACTTCATTAGGGGCCTCCCAACAGGTTTTAACTCAGTTCAAAGTTATTTTTCTTTCCACGTGTTTATCTTATTTACTGATCCTAGCGGATATGTATCTCTTCCAGGCTCATGTTTACTCTACGGAATCTGGAGATTGTGCTGCTTTTCTCTCAAACTATGATGCAAAATCCGCTGTTAGAGTGATGTTCAATAATATGCACTATAACTTACCTCCTTGGTCTGTCAGCATCCTCCCTGATTGTAGAAATGTTGTCTTCAATACAGCAAAAGTATGTAACAATAGTCTTACATATTTTTAAAGCCATCTTATTTTCTATTCAGTTATCCTAGTTATGTTTCCCAGGACACAATTTCTTCACCTTTGACATGTCCGTTCAACAAGATTCAATAACTGAAAATTAGTCAAACTAATGAACTCATGTTCTCCCACTTTTAGGTTGGAGTGCAAACATCTCAGATGCAAATGTTGCCAACAAATACTCAGATGTTCTCATGGGAAAGTTTCGATGAAGATATTTCTTCTCTGGATGACAGCTCAACAATCACTGCTGCTAATCTCCTGGAACAGATTAATGTAACACGGGATACAAGTGATTATCTTTGGTATATAACTAGGTAAGCCTGATTTTCCTAGGTGTTTCAGATTTGCTTCTAATATATTTTTTCTCTCAATATCTTGCTCTTGGAATACTTGGAGCCCAACACTGGTTCCAGCTGCTAAATGAAAAAGATTTAGAAACAATTTTAAATATACTTATTCTGTAATTCATTTCATGTCTTTGTTTGATGTTTCTGCAGTGTTGATATAGGTTCCTCCGAGTCCTTTCTACGTGGAGGTGAACTCCCCACTCTCATTGTTCAGTCTACAGGCCATGCTGTGCATGTTTTCATCAATGGTCAACTTTCTGGTATGAAAATTTGCTTGAATTTTTTAGGCACCCTTTCTAGCTGATTAGTAAAAGCAAACATGATATATGGTGATTCAATCCAGGTTCTGCCTATGGAACAAGGGAGTATAGGAGATTCACATATACTGGAAAGGTAAACCTTCGTGCTGGAACAAACAGAATAGCTCTGCTCAGTGTTGCCATCGGACTTCCTGTAAGTTTTATTTCCCTCCTTTACTTTCCAAAATCCTACTTTCTGTAACTGCTGAGTTAGGTAAATAGTGGTTATTGGTTTTGTGCTCAAGTTTGACCTTCCTGTGATTATGAAAGCCTTGTAGCTAGGTGACCTGGAGATTGAAATCCAGCTAATTCTGCAACAAATAAAAATATTAGTAACGGCTCAATTCTTTGTCAACTAATAACTAATGCCATTGACCAAATGCTTTTCTGATTTTTGTTGTCAAAGAACGTGGGAGAACATTTTGAGACATGGAGCACAGGAGTCCTAGGTCCAGTTGCACTCCATGGACTTGACCAGGGAAAGTGGGACTTGTCCTGGCAGAAATGGACTTACCAGGTTACGTAGTGTTTGTTACTTGAGATGCTTAAGTTGGCTTACTTTCAAGAAGAAAGCCTTACTAAGAAATGCTTGTAAACAGGTTGGGCTGAAAGGAGAAGCCGTGAATCTCGCCTCTCCAAATGGTATCTCTTCGGTTCAGTGGATGCAGTCAGCAATAGTTGTACAAAGAAATCAACCATTGACATGGCATAAGGTAAAACTAAAGAAAAATGTGCTCGTTTGACTGAAAACAAAATATTAGTTTCAGAACAAATAAAGTTTATCTGTAAAATGTGTGCAGACTTATTTCAATGCTCCTGAAGGAAATGAACCATTGGCAATAGATATGGAGGGTATGGGTAAAGGTCAAATATGGATTAATGGACAAAGTATTGGAAGATACTGGACTGCATTTGCTACTGGTAATTGCAATGACTGCAACTATGCTGGTTCATTTAAACCTACAAAGTGCCAATTTGGTTGTGGCCAACCAACCCAGCGATGGTAAGCATTGCTAACATTGTAGCTTCTGCAACTGCTATCATATTGTGAAATACAATATGCAAGGCTCACTCAGGCACAAAATATCTTATATCACACTTCGTACGAAATGTTTCAGGTACCATGTTCCTCGATCTTGGTTGAAGCCAACTCAAAATCTATTGGTTATTTTCGAGGAACTTGGGGGAGATCCTTCAAAAATTTCACTTGTTAAGAGATCAGTGAGCAGTGTCTGTGCTGATGTGTCAGAGTACCACCCAAATATTAAGAACTGGCACATTGAGAGCTATGGTAAGTCAGAAGAGTTCCATCCACCAAAGGTTCACTTGCATTGTAACCCTGGCCAGACCATCTCTTCCATTAAATTTGCAAGCTTTGGAACTCCTTTGGGAACTTGTGGGAATTATGTGCAAGGAGCTTGCCATTCCCCCGCATCCCATGCCATTTTAGAGAAGGTACTCTACCATACCGTTGATTTCACAACCTACCACATTAACTTTTAGCAAGTGTTTCTTTGGAATAGAGTTAACTTCAGCTGTTTTTTTTTTTGTTTCATTTTTCACAGAAATGTACAGGAAAACCAAGATGCACAGTCACTGTATCAAACAGCAACTTTGGGCCAGACCCATGTCCGCAGGTGTTGAAAAGGTTATCAGTTGAAGCTATATGCACTCCAACAGCTATAAATTGGAAGGGTTGATAGAGTAAGGAAGCACCCTTTTAAGTGTAATGTGTAGTGACTTAAACCACAAGAAAAAGGAATGAATAATAAAAGGAGTACAGGTAAAGTTAAAGGTAGATCAATAGGTTGAGTGTCATGGTATTAGAGTGTGAAAGTAGTACGTAGTTCATAATTTTATTTGGTGGGGTTAACGGGGCTTGTATACATTGTTCATAGTTAGGTAGGTGAATCTGAAACTAGGGGTCTGAAATTTAGAGTACGAGGAAGAGAGGCAATTAAGTTTGTGTGATTTGTGTTTGTTTCTGTTAATGGGGTGAGTCATACCACAAATCAGGTTCGAGTTGGGAGCGGATGTTACTGTAACCATTGTCTAATGAGGTTTATAAAAGTCCATTGTTCTGTCTACTTTTTCTGCTAATTAAGTGCTATGGTACTCTCTTTATTTTGGTACCGGTTTTATTTTGGGTGCAGCACTATGCTACGTTCAGCCATAGTTGGTCATGCAAAACAATAACATAACAAGGTGACATTAAGAAACGTTGCATAAAGCTGCCAATGGCAAATAATTTTCCTCTTTTTCACTTAATAACGAAATCGCCAATGAAATAAACTTGAATAAACAAATAACACAGAAAGGCAACACCCTTTAAAAGTATTTAAAATTGAGTTGTGTTGAAAATAAATTATTCAGTATCCACATTCAGAAACATTTATAATCAAATGATGTAACAGACAACTGCACTTTTAATCTGAAGTTGCTTTAAAGTTCTTCATTCAAAAATGTTTACCCATACACATTAATAATCCATCGACAAAGACATCCTTCATTTAGCGAGCTACTTTTATTTATCTCCATGAATCTTTGAAGATGCTTACCTCCCACCAGATTGACGAGGACTTAAAGTCTAATTTAAACAGGTCTAAGAGAATTTCCATTAAATTTGGTGTTTACGCGTTGATATACGATGTAAAGAGAATCAAAGATAGCCCTTCAGATAATAATCATGTTAGATATATGCGTTAGAAGTGGCTCAAGTGATTTGAATATAAGAAGGGCTAAAAAATAATTCTGTTTATTAGTGGCATGATTAGTGCATGGGAGATTGTTAAGGAACCATATAGTAATTTGCTTGATGGAAGCAGTTATATAAAGCTTAGGGTAAAAGCTTTAATCTCTGCCCATTAAGAGGTTCTGCGTTTTTGCCATCGTGAATAGAAGAGGGACCTATAATAGGTGGGTGAAGAGATTGAGAAAAACCATTCCGCATCATGAGTTCTCAATCTAAAGTTTGCTGTCAAAAAGTATTCCATTTGCTGTCAAAAGCCATTCTACAGAAGGGGTTCTTAATTGAAGATTTGTTGTCATCACCATGGACAAAGGTTAGTGTAAGAACCCGCACCGTTAATTAAGGAAGTTAATTAATTAATTATGTGAAATTAGGAAATAATTTCATAATTGACCATAATAATTATTATGAGGCTTAAATAATATTGGTAAGTGGTTATAATGCTGAAAGTCGCTTTTCTGACGAAAAGTGCAAATACCGGTTCTGCTACTCGGTATAAATGCGTGCCGATGAAGTATCCCGAAAAATTATGTAAAGTGTGTATATGTCACTAGAATAATATATAGGACTTGTAAAACGAGTTTCAAGTGAAAATAATGAGAACTGGTGCCAGAATTGATATTGGCTATGGAAAAGCGCGTACCTGAAAGGTGCTGCGAAAAATAAAATAAAAATATGGTAAATCTTAGAAAAATGAGTAGGATCAGAATCCTAAGTTTGGGATTCAAATGCTAAGCGTAACAATTAGCGCTTATACTGTGTGATTAACCTTGAACCAACTATATATATCATTTCTGCACAAAACCCTAGGCACCTTATAACTCCTACGTGAAAGGGTGGCTGACCAGCTCTCTATTCACTGTTCCATTGTTGTTCCCCTTCTTCTTCATCACTATGAGAGCCAAGAAGACCTTTTTCTTCTTGGTTTCTTCATCAAACACTTAGTGTAGTGTATTGTGAGTGGGGAGGGTGCATCTTTTCTGAGTTTTGGCACTGCCTTGTGAGGTGTGAGGGGATGAGTTTCTGGTTTTGGGGAGGTGGTGTCATATTCTTGGTGTTTGGTTCTCCAAGAAGCTATCTTTGAAGAGAAAGAACCTTCTTAGGTGCCATTTTCGCGAGCACTTGGAGTCTGAACTAAGGGAGCTGCTTAGTGAGCTCCAAGAGCAACCTTTTTTCTGAGTTTGAGCCTTGGGTAAGTGTTGGCAACCTTGATCATGAGTTTTAATGCTTAAAAGTGGAGTCTTGGTATATCTAATGAGATAAACAAGTAACCAACCTGAGTGTGAACCTTATTGAGCCTAAAGATGCATGCTTTAACGTTTTGAATTGGTAAAAGTTGAACCTTTGAAGTGGTATTTCGCAAAATGCAGAATCTGAGTTCTGCCGCGAAATACCCGGATATTGGATTGAAAATATCCGGATATTGATATCCGGATATCTAGGGTTCTGAACATCCGGATATTCATATTCGGATATTTCCAGATAGATATCCGGATATTGATATTCGAATATGACCCCGACAAATATCTGGATTTTCTGGGTTTTCGAGAATAGTGAGGGTATTGTTCATACAGAATGCTATTTTGGGTTTGTGGACCCATGATTAGTAAGTGGTGACTTCTGTATAATTAATCTAAGTCAGAATCTAAGTGATTAAGGGCTTGAGGCTTTCAGAGAATCCTAAAGACGTAAAACGTAAAGGAAAGGCGTTGTCTTTATATCACATGCGTGTGGTGCTTGAATATTGATTTGATTATTGGTCTAAACAGATTGTGATCTTGCTGTTGTGGACTTTGAGATTATGTGGACTCTTGGCTTGGATAGCTAGCTTGCAAGGTAAGCTTTCGTGTCCTCGGTTTAGCCATTGTTGGTTCCACCATGTCCCATGGGAGGATGGTTTATATGCATGATGTTGTTTTCATGTATTGTTTTGATAAATGCTATTGAGCTGTTTTATGCGAGTGCCTTTATGATATGCATGTGGTGTTCCACCTATATGGTGAGCCTGAATATGTGGAGACATACAAGATGGTGAGGCTATGGGTGAGGTGCAAGCGGTGTTCCTTGTACTTATTGTGGGGTTGTAGACATACGTCCTGCATTTCTCTGGCCAGTAGAATAGTTAAAACACACATGGCATGAATATCTGTTGCACTGCATAGTTTTGGAACTTATACTGTTAAATGCTTTTGAACTTATATTGCACATGTAAGTGAGCTTGGGGTGGAAGATCCTTGAGGACCCCTTGTCTTACTGAGATTTCTTGTTTAGAGATCTCACCCCACGTTTGAGGACGCTTATTTCAGGCTCAGGTAACTTGGGGGCTGATGCCTCTAGCGGCAGGAGGCCGGAGCTTAGCTGATATTGATGTTATATGCTGACATGTTTGGATGCTGGATTATATCTGCTGATGTTATGCTTTTAGCTTGTTATTATTATGTTGCTGTTGTTGAGACTTTTGTGGGCTTTGTTGCCTTATTTGGTGAGCATGGGGTTTGTCCATGCCACATTGATGTTAGTACTTTTAGCTCTAGTTGTATAAACTATCAGGGTTGTCCGGTCTACGTGTTATAGTTCCGTGGCTAGAGATATGTTGATGTTAATTTTATATTGAGGTATTCCAGTTAGCTGTCTTTTGCAATTTACATACAGGCGATGTTTTGAAAATGATTAAGTAATCAAATTGGTAATGATTAATGTAACAGCCCGTTGTACACCGGTATTGTTAACATTAATTATGATATTAAGCGCAAATACAATCACTGTGGTTATTTGACTTTACGGGAAAACTTTTTCCGTTCATTACGCGAACATTTAAAATCGTAAGAGCGTAATGAATAAAAGCTGTGATCGTAACCCTTACTCATTGCGGAAATATTAATACTATAGCCTAATACCATACAACTTTCGTTTAAAGATTGCTAAGTGGTTCCCATAAACCAACAAAGTCAAGGACTCATACATTCCATCGTATTATTTTTGCTTTTAAACACTAAAGGCCTTATCCATTTTATTTACTCCAACAATTTCGTGCCTCACAATTGCCTTTCATCTCATAGTATGACCTAGATTTTTCCCCAAGCTTCACGTGGGTTCAAACCGCGCTCAAATCGGAGCACCGTAGCTCAAGTTATGGATTTTTAAAAAAAAACATGATATTTTCCTGACAACGGCGCCAGTTGGTGCCAAGCTACTAGAGAAATTAGAAAATCTTCGAATTTCACAGACCCACGGCGCCAAGTAGCGCCACTGTGGCGCCACCTTACTGGACAATTTTTCTCACAGTGCCCTGCACATGTACAGGAGCCAATTAGGGACCTGAGTTCCCGACCTTCTACTGCCCAATTCCTAACTCCGATTAAACCCAAATTTTGACACGGAATAGAGGGTAACTCCATCTTCAAAATGGCGTATGGAACGTCCTTATTGGACCACTATGGAGGGAGGTACGCTCTCTCGAAGTTCGCCTAAAATATGCCAATTTCCCGAAAATTTGCCAGAGTTCCCTTTGTTTTTACAAAAATCCCCAATTTGTCTTATGTATCATAAGACCACAAGGTGCATAAAATCAAATGGGTGGCACACACAAGGACCAACAATGCCTTGGGGCACTTACAACTCATCACAGTTTGTTTTACATATACTATACTTATTATGTTTCAACCATCAAGTTCAATTGCATGCATTTGTTAATCGTACATATAATCAATTCTAAAATAGGCCTAAGGCCCTTCCATCATATTATCCATGCTTCAAATACATCATAGGTGGCCATGGACAAATCCCATGCTCACACAGAATATACATATCAACCAAGGGCATAATTATACATCAATTTGAAAGACTTATACATAGTCATGAAAATATACAAGCATGGCAATATCAACATGCAACAAGCTATGCTAAGTGTATCCAATAGAATCCTCTAACATGCTATGCCCTTCATATGCACCTCATGCTCCACTCCTCCGAGCTTAACCTAACCTGAAATGATATCCCCTAAACGCGGGGTGAGATATACAAATATATCTCAGTAAACCAAGGGTACTAGAGGATCACTCTACCCCATG